TGGATATGAGTTCTCGATTGCTGAATCCCGGTTTGATTTTTGGATAAAGGCGTTGATGTTAAGGTATTGGGTGGATTTTGGCAACCAATCAAAATATCGAGTAAACTGGCTTAGAAAAACACATCCGCTTGATGAAAATGTAATTGTTGAAATTATTATTCATGTTAATAAAGTTCAAGATGATGCCTCTGATGTTGACGCGCTATCGATAATCCGCTGTTATTCTCAATTACAATATCGGTGATTGAGAGAAAGGTTGAAATTTCTCAAAAGTATACTCTTGTTTCGAAAAATACGGAGTTTCCTAAGCTAAAAAGCCTGGTAGATAGACTTCAAGTTAATAACGAACTAGATGATAAGATTAGAGTTGATTATGCTGATATTTTTCAAGAGTCAGAAGATGCTGAAAGTCTAAATTTATCGTCGTTGGATCTTTCGGAAATTTTGTGGGATGTTTCACTTTTGTCTACCAACGAGAATACGATGAAGAGTGATCACCCAAAGTACAAACCCATAAAAGTCAAATCCAAAGTTAAAGTTTGTACAAACAAGAATACATCGAAGACAAAGGTGTCGACAACACCATTAGCAAAGGTCGCTAAACAACAAAACATTAATATAAATAATATTCAAGAATGTGCGCAACGTGTGTGCAACACTTTTGCTAAAAACGTTAACAGATTCCTATAAGTTACATAAGAAGCCATTATTCGTTTGTTTTATAGACTTTCGTAAGGCATATGATAGTGTATGGCGAGAGGGTTTATTTTTCAAGCTCATCCAATATGGTTGTAGTAAGAATTTTGTACGCATATTATTAAATATGTACTCCTCAGTTAAATATATAAAGTCAAACTTTCTTCGGGAAGTACTCCAGTATTTTCGTCAAACATTGGTTTAAAACAGGGTTGCAACATGAGTCCATCTTTATTTAATGTCTTTATCAATGATATACCTGAATTACTAAATACTTCAAATTGTGATTCGGTGCATCTACAATCCTGGACAAAAGTGTTGGGACACTCAGCCTTTTCCACCCTTGAATTCTAAAGACAACGCCCACCTCCCCTCCCACACCCCAATTCAATGTTGAAAGTTCTTACAATTTTAGTTAAGGATGCCCCCAAAATCAAAATTAAACGGGGGAGTGGAGGGGGGTTCGGTTCAAAAGCATATTTTGCGTTAAATCTGCTTTCCCTGAAGAGAACAATAAAAACATTCGAAAATTTTGGGTTGTCCCTAGGACTTTTGTCCAGGATTGTCGGAATTTAGATGATAAACTAATAATGAAATTTGGACGAAAATCTTTGTCGTTTTGACAATAGATGATCTTTTAACTAATTATATTCATATACTCGGAGAACTAGCCTTGAAAAACAGTTTTTTAACTATAAATGATAGGGCTACCGTTGTTAAATATTTTTAAATAATAATTTTAAATAATACTCTCGAAGATGTAGAAAACAGTGAACCGGACTGAGCTGAAGAGCAGATGCACTTAGATAATGTCATGGTTAAATAGGGCATTTTAATCCATTCCTAATCTCCCTCTCAGTTGGATACAGTACAGTACATACTAAATTAATTCCTAGTAATTGTTAGCATTTAAATCGTAGAGCAACAGTTTCAAAATGTGAATGCAACATGTTTAATAGAAGATTTTTCATTGTATGTTTCTGTGTTTAGATTCTTGAGCAGCAATTGCAACAAATGAAAGCAACATATCAACTCAACCAAGAAAAACTGGAATATCATTTCCAAGTTTTGAAAAAACGAGATGAAGAAAATACCATCACAAAATCGCAGCAGAAAAGAAAAATGACCATGTACGTCAATAATGTGGGGTCATGTGTAGGCAGGTATGTCAATAATGTGGGGTCATGTGTAGGCATGTACGTCAATAATGTGGGGTCATGTGTAGGCAGGTACGTCAATAATGTGGGATCATGTGTAGGCAAGTACGTCAATAATGTGGGGTCATGTGTAGGCAGGTACGTCAATAATGTGGGGTCATGTGTAGGCAAGTACGTCAATAATGTGGGATCATGTGTAGGAAGGTACGACAATAATGTGGGGTCATGTGTAGGCAGGTACGTCAATAATGTGGGGTCATGTGTAGGCAAGTACGTCAATAATGTGGGGTCATGTGTAGGAAGGTACGACAATAATGTGGGGTCATGTGTAGGCAGGTACGTCAATAATGTGGGGTCATGTGTAGG